GAGAAAATAGAAGTAAAGCTGACTTACTGAATTGGGACAAAGAGTACGTGATTCACTGGGGGAAAATGGGTTCCCAAAAAAAAGTCAATACCTGTCTCTAAAATTATATTTTCTTATATTTTAGTTATGTTTGGAGGAAAACTTGATGAAATAAGCATGGGCATTCATTTCTGAATGCTGGAAATGTTAAAATAAATATTAAAACTCCCTTTGGCCAAATATGTGGCAACATACATATGAACCACTTAAAAGCCAAATCATACACACAGAGCTTCAGTGACTGAGGAACCAGGAAATATTGGATATTTTGCCAAACAGAGCTGGGGTACTTTAATTGAAAGTCCAGAAATCCTTTAAAACTAAGAGGCCTCTGATTATCTTTTTCTTCCCCCATATTTTTCTTTTCTAATGTAGTTCTCTGATCCTTCTACTCGGTGGATGGATACTACTAGGTAAGGCCAGGATACAACCTCACTACATCCAGATTGTCCTAATCAACTGCACTTTGGAGGTCCGAGCTTGAGGTTGCTAACTCTGATGAGAGACAGGGCTACTTCCAGCATATATGGAAACATTTAACAGCTGTCTTGAGCCATTTGATAGGTTTTAGCCTCCCATACTAGAAGGGTGTCTATACAGAGAAGATCCTTGGTCTCAAACTATTAATTACATCCAATCATATGTTGAAAAGGGCAATAGCTGAGACAGGTAGAAGACCACTCAACCAGAAAAAAAGATCAATTTGTTCTATTTTAACAACTAGAAAAACTAATTGATGCTAATAAAAGTTGGTTTATATATATTCTACAATTGTCTCTGGGTGACTAATGTATCAACATGATTTAAAAGAACACTAGAATACTTCCAGCAGCATAACAATGTCAATTAAATATTTCTATTTACTTGGTAGACTATTCAGTAAGTGTTTGTTGCCACAAATCCCAGGCACTGCACCTGGGCCACATAACTAGAAGATTTCATTACAGCTCCATGAGCCCTTGGAGGTAGAAATATGAAGACTATGGAACAGTGTGAACCAGTTAGAATCTTCCTAGATCTGAATGGCTTTCACACCTGCTCAGAATACACGTAGTACCCATACATTAAAAATTGCATGGTATATAGAATTTTGGTTAATAGAATTATATTAACGTGTCTAGTCCTGTGGGAAACAGCTAATTCTGCAGAGAGAAGGGAGCACTCTAGATGATAGCATAGCCCACATAACAATAGGCTTTCAATAGAATTCATGAGAGAATTAAGTCCCAACAGACTCATTATGTGTAATGGATTAATTTGTGTTGTATACAACTAAAATGATACCAAATATGTTCCCTGGGAGGATTAAGAAATAGTCACACTATTTCTCTATAGGGCTTAATTCTCTGGCAAAACTCACTTGAAACAAATTAACCAGTCAACATATGGCCACTCTAATGAGTTAGACTGTGCAAAGAACTAAAGTGTTGTTGGGCAGAAAATAATCACAAGAACAATGAAACTTACTCTAATATACTTGGAAAACAGTTAAAGGAAGAGTTTTAAAATCATGTTATATAATTTATAAGTCCATACTGGAATAAAAATTGGCATAAGGTATAAACATTGCCAGTTTAACACTGTTCCTTCATTTCGTCATCATTTATATATTACCAAACCATATAAAAGAAAGGTAATTGTAAAGGAATTTAAATGTCTAAATGTGACCTGCAGAATTGTTTTGTTCAGCCAGAAGTGAACTGTTCAACTGCATGAAATAACGTATTTACCCTCTTCTCTTCAACTTCTTCAGCACTATCCCTGTGCACACTACTAGCCCACGGTAGGTTTGGTTAGTACGCTCAGTTTGGGAACCTTAGAATAATATTGGCTGTAGGTTCTATGAAAATATTTAGGTTTGCTCTTTTTTTTTAAGATTTTATTTATGTAACTGTCAGAGAGAGAGAGCACAAGCAGGGGAAGCAGCAGGCTCCCCGATGAGTAAGGAGCCCAATGCAGGACTCCATCCCAGGACCCTGGGATCCTGTCCCAAGCTGAAGGCAGATACTTAACCAACTGAGCCACCCAAGGATCACAAAAATATTTAGATTTGTTCTAATATCATGTCATACATACTAAACCCCTTCTCTGTCAATAGGAAGACATTGAGCAACTCTTACCATGGGCCAAGGAATTATAGGCATTAATCACACCAACCAACATTATACTATTAAGCAAAATACCCTAATTAGTAATACCATATTTTTGGTTAGAGGAAAGTAATGTGACTTCATCTCACATATCATATATACCTTGAGGAGCAAGATTATCATTTTAAGAACCAACAGGCTGAGGTTAATTGAGCCTGACTTCAGTTTATAGATCTCTGTCTAGAGCAAACTGAAATGGAAAAATTTTAAAGAAGTGTTGATTGTGAGAAATTTGAAAGCAGGATTTATTTGGATTGATTATTTGGACTAACGCCCCTCCCAGATGTCCCAAAATTATATTTGCTAGTGGAAGCAGCAGACACTGAACACATAGGAGTTGTCTGATGTACTAACTCCTCACTTACCAATAGGATATAATAACCTCTTAAACTTTACCATTTGAAATTAGAAACTGCCTATTTATAGGCATGACAACTTATCGAATAAAGTCAGAGTTTTGGTGTGTGTGTATATATATACAATATTTCTGATCATTAGTTAATTCACAAAACTGGCACTTTTCATACACTGCATTATAAATGTAAATGCTGGCTGAAGGAATGGTAAGATAAAACAAAGTCCTAATAGATTTACTAGGTATCTGAATAGATTTCACTTGATACTCCTAAAGGGGAGTGGTATGTGAACACATTATTTAATATATACGTGATATATGAGACTAATAATAATAATAATAATAAAATAAAAATCACCCCCTAGATGATTTTGTACATTCATTAAAGTTTGAGAAACATTGTTCTAGCCTAGTGATTCTCAGAATATGATCTCCAGGCCAACCACATCAATACCACCTGGAAACCTCTTAAAAATTCAGATTTTTAGACCCTACCCCAGACCTATACATCAGACACTCTGGGGCTGGGACCCAGCAATCTGTGCTTCATTAAACCTTCCAAGTTGGGAACTGGTGCAGCTGCTACCAGTATCATCACAACATCCTCAGGGGCAATGCTGCATCTAAGAGTGATGACATTGACAACTGCAGGGCAGAAGCAAACAAAACCTTAAGAAAGGTCTTCAGTTGGGTTATGGACCTTGGGGAGGGTATGTGCTATGGTGAGTGCTGTGAAGTGTGTTAGCCTGACGATTCTTAGACCTGTACCCCTGGGGTTAATAATATATCATACGTTAATAAGAAAAATAAAATAAAACAAAACAAAACAAAGTAAAACAAAAAGAAAGAAATGTCTCCAATAACATACCAGATTTGTATGTGCAAAACTGTCTAAACTTACTTGTCCTCCTGTCCCAGTTGCTCACTAAACCCCCACCACAAAGCTCCTTCTCACCACACGGAAGCGAGACTTTGCTTCCTCTTCTTCTCAGGCTCTTATTCTCCTCTTAGGCTGGGTAGCTCCTTCAAATTCTTTACAGCCCATGAAGAATGCCATCTCCTTAGAGAAGCCCCCTCATCCTTCCTAAATTTGTTCTCTCTTTTTTGTGTCAGAACCTTGTTTCCTCCATGGACCACATCACAATTCACACTTAGAGCATTTATCTGTTAGCTTACTTGTTTATCCTCTGTTTCTCCTACTAGCCATTAAGTTCCTGGAAGGGCTCACTTCTGTCTTGACCACCATCATCCTTAGTGCCTAAATATTTCTTCTGTATAATAGGCTTTCATGAATCTTTCCTGAATAAATGACTAAATAGAGATATAATAAAAAAAGGTACCAGACTCAGATACCATTATTAATGCTGATGCTACATAGACTAATTCTTCTGTGATCATAGTGGGGAAAAAAATTTGCGTCTTTGCTACACCGAATCAAGAAAATAAGTGTGCATAAGTTGCCTATCATGTTTCATAATTTTCAGCATTACAAGTTCGCTAAATATCAAAGTATTTCTCCAAGGAGCCTAGAATTTTTGTCATTTAAAAAATATGTTATATAAGTAGAACAACTTTCACCTAAAAAGGAATCAGACCAAAAGACAAAATAAAAATGTTTAATTCCCTTTTGAATGTGTGTTAAATTCAATACATTTTGATAAAACATTTTTCTAAGCCAAAGGAACCAATGTTACATTTAGAAGGCAACTGACTGCAAAAAATGTATCGTCTATGCTATACTTTATTTTTAAAAAGAAATTCAAGATTTTATTCTATGTTTTCTATGTTGCAAAAAGGATGTCTTCTCTACAGCTCAGGACATCACAAGAAAGTAATGGCACAATAAAAGAATTTTTGTTGTTTTTTTTTTCCTTTGCATTATCTTCATATACCAGTAAAAAATAAACTCTTTAATAAATAAATATATATAATAAATATTTGCAAATCAAAAATGTATAAATATGTCCATCCTTAAAAAAATGTTCCATCTTGATGTGGCATGTATAGCTCATGTTTCATCCAGAGTTTTTACATATCACTCTGTAATCTACAAAATCCTACAAGGTCCTCAGACTTTATGTAGCAATAATCTTGGTCAACAGTGTCAATTTATCTCTTCAACATGAAGTATCTATTTTTAATGTAACTTCTGAAGTAAACATAATCCAGAGAGGTGAGGTACCAGCAGCAAACCAGGTGGGGTTCCCATTATCCACAGTTCAACAGATTTTCAGCTTCAATCTAAGAACCAATGAACCTAAGGGAACTTAATCCACTTATAAAGAGAGGTCTTGATCTACTTTCAGCCAAAATATTATTTTTTTTTTGTTCTCAATATTCTTTTCAAATTCAGCCACCCAGTAGAAAACTCCATAACATTTTGAGAAGACTCCTGGGTTACTATTTTTACGGTGTGAACTCTGACAAGATAGAATGGTTGTAGTTTGACTCTCCAGTGAAGACACTGTCATCCTTTAACTGTACATCAGTATGTCCTTGTACAATTCAGGAACTCTTTCTGGATCCACTGGTCTAGGCAGGAAATGTGTAAATTTCTGATGTCTTTTGGACCTGGCACCATCTCTTGGAGTTCCGTCTTTGTTAAGTGCCACAAAATACCTACGGCCAGTGTCTCCATGTTTATATATGTTGGATGAATAGGTATTATACCAGTTCTCTTCAAATTGCTCTCTAAAGATGCATTCAGAAGTCAATTTCTCCTGTAAGACAGAAGGTAACTACCATTAAAAAAATACCTTTGTGAGAATTTCCTCAGAAAGTCTCATCTCTATATCTGTATTGCCTTGCTTACACCGATATCTTTGTCAAAGAAGGGGGAAAGGATGAATTGTTTTTGCTTTATTTTGTTTTAGTTCTTACATTACCTGGAATTCTTCCAGGCAACTAAAGTTCTTAGTAGTTTATTTCAAATAATTTTACATTTTAAGTGTGAGTTCTCAGTTTTATTGTCAAATACTTAATAAATATCCAGAACTTTCCCATGTTTCATTTTATCTCCCTCCTACCACCATCCCCACCAAACAAGGCTGTATTTATCTTGTTCTGTTGTTAGAAAGTTCTACATAGCAAGTCTGTACTATCATTTTGAAACGTGTCAAGATCTTGCTAACATCCAAATTCCTAATTCAAAACCATCATTCCAAATCATATATCTTCCCTAAATGTATTTACTAATTGTTTGATGATACATTTCCCATCATTAACTTTCATCTAGAGGTTATCATTAGGTAAATGTAGTAAAGGCCCAATGATTTCTTGCCTTTTTAAGTTGAACTGTATCTTATCCTAAGAGATAGACCACAGTTGCTTTTTGAGTCATGGCTCTTTAATTATCCAGATATGGTCAACCAGATATGTAGTTGCCATTTTCTGTTGTTGTCCACAATATCTTAGGACTTCATTCAGTCGTTTCCTATTTATGAAGGTCAGTAACATAAATACTTAGCTATGGAAGATGATCACGGGTAGAGAAAACTTACATTAAATAAATGTGAAGGTGAAAAGAATTTAACATGGCAAAAAGAAATTGTCTTTTTTTCTGTGTCTCTGGTAGGAATAATCAAAACATAGAGGGAAGTAGAAAGACTCAGGATAATAGGCAAGCAGATTAGCAAGCTGAAAACAGTAGAAGTTTGGGTCTTAAAAACTATAATTGAGGGCGCCTGGGTGGCTCAATTGGTTAAGTGCCCAAATCTTGATTTCAGCTCAGGTCACGATCTCAGGGTTGTGAGATGTCAGGGTCACACTGGGTGTGGACCCTGCTTAAAATTCTCTCTCTCCCACTCCTTCTGACTCTCCCCAACCCTCTTGCATGCATGTGCTCACTCTCTTAAAAAAAAACAAAACAAACAAACAAACAAAAAAACCTGAAATTGAGTTAGTATACTACTGCCCAGACATATGGAAATTAATCAGAATATAAATATTTAATTTCTACATATATGTATTTCATATGTTTCTTCTGACATGTATTATTGGTAGTTTTTTTTTTACTGGCAAAATAGTCATAATTTTAAGAATTACAATAATGTTTTTAAAATACGTACTGAAATAAAATAAGAATAAAAAATAAAATAAAATACATACTGAGCCATAGAGTTCTCCTTTGTCATTCATTCCAAGGTAAAGACCACTGTCCACACCTCTAATACTGACCAGCCCCACTGCCACACTGATGAATTCCAGGATACCTATATTTATAAACAAAATAATGACATACTTATTAATGAACATGTGATTATTGAAAATCTTCCAAAGAGTAAACCAATATTGCTAAATATAATAATGTAGGCAGAAGTCCTTCATAAGCTGAAAAGTGCTATTCAGTCATCTTATTACGATGATCTTCCCATTTTACAGATGAAAAAAAAAAAAAACCTAATAAGAAAAGTTGTCCATCAGGGTGTAATGTTAAAGGTATAAAACCTTAAACCAGACTGACTTGCATAATTTACCTTGAAATTTACAGTAATTTAAAATTTCATAGTAATTTACTGGCCAGTCTGTCCACACAAGTCATTTATCTTCTTTGGTTTCCTCATGTACAAAATGAGCAAAATGCCTCTTTCCAGAAGACTGATAAGGACTGACACATTTAGGCATTCAACAAATGAAGCTATCATTATCATAAATTAGTACATAATAGAGGTGTTCCTAGCTCTCTATGATTCTATTAGTTAATTACATATGTTCTATTAATTGTTTTGTTTTGGTTTTGCTAACTATGAATCAAGTCCATCTTTTTTTCCCAACAGCCAGTGTATACCTTATATGGATACATTAGTGTTTTATAGTTTATAAAGGGTTTTGACTTATATTTTCTATCTGGTCCTCAAAAAAACAATTCCCTAATATAGGTATGGAAGATATTATTGCCCCCATTTTTACATATAAAGAAACTGAGGCTCAAAAAGATTTATTGAATTGCCTAAGAATATGAAATTCGGAATTAGTAGAACTGACACTTGAACTCACATCTTCTGAGCCCTAATCCAGCATTTCTACTTCAGGACTATCCATTGGTTTCAAAACCAATGGAGATATATCTATACGGGTATATAGGTATATTATATATTATCTATATATTATCTATATATTATATATGTAATCTATATGTTATAGATTATACACTATGTATAATAAGAACCTGTCACATGGTTCTTAAAATTAAATATGATAGTTCAAAGAAGTAAAAGGACTTTATAATTCATTAAATATGATAGACAAATACTAAGATTTTAGAATGCAAATAGATTTTGTTATCAATAACTTTCTAAAATTATTTTCATTTATCCATAGAGAAACCGGTATCAAACACTCTCTGCTAATACACTAATTCACCATAGTAAAAGAAATAATGCTTCCCTTTGCATCACTCTTTTTCTCTGCACACACTAACCTTTAGAATAATTTCTTTATCTTGTTCTTTAGACTCTTTGTTGAAAAAAATACATAGACATACTTTCTATGGTTGAAACTGCCTTTAACAGCTTTCTACCTTCACCCCTTTGCTCCTTCTTAAGCTGTACAAGTAATATAAATGTGCACTGTTTAGCCTGATTCTCATTCTTAAGTCATATCTTGATTTATTGTACAGATTCCTGTTTGGACATGTGGTGTTCCCAAGGCCAAGAGAAAGTCCAAAATCTGGCTAACCCTTATACAGAGAGTTCTATTCTGTCCAGAGCCTAATTCATTCTTTGGCAGAAACATAGACTCTTAAGCTCTAAACATAGATTCTCAAGAGCTCAAATGAGCTCTTTCAAACTATTGGTAGATCGTGTATGACGCTAGAGCTATCAAGGATCTTATAACAAGAATACACTACCAAATAGACTATAAGTGGCTTGAAAGATTCAGTGCCCTTAATTGAGAGCCAAAAGAGAGAAGATAAGATACAGCAGGAAGACACAGACTCCATAGGATAGTCATTGTAATGATGAACATAGAGGTGGAGAGTAAATAAAAATTAAACTTATGGTCAAGCTCATTAGTGAGTGGTTCCTGTTAGAAATAAAAATATAGACCTAAAACATGATCAGTAAAAGAAGGTAATATTAATAGAATTTCATCCAGGATATACTTACAAGTGTATAATTACTTGAAGTTTTATTGAATGTAAAATTCAAATGGAAAAGCATACTAGGGCTCACTATAATGTAACTTAATTCTCTTTAAATATCTGACTTACATTAAGATGCTCTTGTCTTTCAAAAACCAGAGACTGATTAAATGATTAGGATGTATAATAGAACCAATTTCCAAGTACAATAAAATATCAGTTTCAAAAAAGGTTTCATTGCCATATAAACTAATCATATAACAGGTCTTATAAAGTATTTTTTCTTTCAATAATAAATGGTAAACCACCTATACTTTACTTCTCATTTTAAGATAATGCTGTTATCTTGTAAAAAATCTGTAGTTGTAGAAATCACATATATTTTTAGAACAATTGTATTCATAGCTTCAAATTTATTAAACAACATCTAAAACTTCATCCATAACCAGGCATTAATAATTTTGCAATGGCTCATAGAGATTGATGGGAAAAAGGTTATGTGTTTTTTTAGTTCCTCTTAAAGATTTTAGCCACACTTTTAAATTCTGATCCTTTTTCTCCTCAAGGAAATAGTATACCACATAGTAATTTGTAATCACTTGATTCTTAAATGGGATTTGACAAGTCTTTCTTATTTATAATATGAGGTGGCAACTAAGCTAATTCCTTAACAAAGAGTAGACATGAAAAACTTTCCTTAAGAGGTAATCACAGATTTTAGATAGATTTTCTAATGCCCAGTGTCCCATAAAAAGACTTGGAGGTACTTTGTCTTTCTGGTATCATTTTCAAAGCCAGCCTTTTTAAGAATCATAATAAACAGGTGAGTCAACCCACAATGCAACCACATCAGACAAATCTATGGAGAATAGGGGAGAATAAAGGAAAAGCCTTTAAAGGAGTATGTTTGATCTCAGGTTAAACATTTTTTTTAAGTAATGATTCCATGTTTACATATTAGGTAAAATCGTCCTACTGTACTACTGTGCAGAAAAACTCTATTATAAATGTAGAGCGAACTCAGATAGGAAATTATTTTAACCTCACTGGAACCTTTTTGTTTAGCTTCTATTGATGTGGTTTTCAAATTTTAAATACAGGATTCTGAATTTTTCACATAATCAATCATGGGAAAATTAGTATAAACTATCAAACATGTTACTTACTTTAACATCAAAAATACCCATTCTCAAGCTTTTTCAAAATTCTCACTTCGATGGCACATAAATGAGTTTAAATGAAAAATACCAAAATGATCTCATAATGAATAACTGAGGTGCTAGGAAAAGAAGGCAAATACAGAGAGAAGCATATGATATACATGTGAAGCATAAACATTCTTCTCACCTCTACTCCCTTATGATGTCTTAGCCATCCAACGCTACTAGGATGCACTGTAAGGCATGGCAGAGGCTGTTCAAACCTCCTTAGGCTATCAGAACTAACCTGGGTTCTTTTCCCTTTGTGTAACAGTAGATATTTTGTTTTGATATGTAGCCTCCCACCATAGTGACTTAAACCATCACAAAATACGTTTAACTCATATTTTTGCAATTACTAAATAATTATGTAAAATTTTAGCAAAAATGTATTGTAGAAGATAGTAATTCTGATATAAAATATTTTTTAAGGAAATAATTTAAATACCAGGTTAATGAATGTTATCAAGTCTATAAATACTTATAATCTCTTCCCATAGATTTATATCTCTTCCTATAGTCTCATAAAGAGACACAATCTGAAAGAAGCAACTCGTGTCATGGGGGAGTTACAGGTGAACCACAAGTGTCTTAAAGGTGTCCAAGGCTATACTATGTATCACAAGGGGCAGGGGTAGGGAAGGGAGTCTGAGTATTACCTCAGCTTAACTTCTACCTGTTCTGCTTATAGGCTTTACCACATTTGTGTTCATTTCTAAATCTTTCTAGTAGCTGGATGATTTTTTTCAATAATGAATGGAGTTCAGTAATTCTTAAAAGCAAGAAAACTGAGCCACCTGGTGTCAGCAAAGTTCCTTAGAACCAGAATCTCAGCCTCCTCAATTTAGAAACCACTTTCTAAAAGTGACCCCAAGGTTGGCCAATAGGTCATGACACTCTTGACTCATAGTCAATGGGAATTTGGAAGAGATCAGCGGAAGCTGCAAACATATGGGTTTTAAAAAGTTAATTTTCTAAGCCTTTAAGTGCTACCAAATGACCACCACATGCTCATTTCTACATCTAGAGTTACAAATGCCCCTCAAACCGAGATTTACACTTCTGCAAAGTTTTAATGAGTACTGCAAGCCAAAAAAAGGAATGAGAGTATAAGAACAAGGGGAAGGGGACAAGATAAGAGAGGGCCATTCAGAGATGAGATTCTCAAAGAATCCCTCAGTGTTAAGGAAAAGAAAGGAAGACAGATGTTGGGCCCTTTCACGTTGCTGCCAACGAGTAAATGGTACTTTTAAAAAATACAATAAATCTCTCCAGTAATGTCCCAAGTTTGATGATCAAAAATCCTTTGAGAATGCTACCGGGTTAACTCTAATATAATGAAAACTCCCGCAATGGGGGTAAAAGATCCTGAGATGTTAGAACCTGAGAGCATCTTTAAATCACCTAATTTAACTCCGTCATCGCACAGAAAAGAAGAATTAAGCCTCAGACTGTTGAAGGCACTTGCTGGTCACACATAGCGTTAGGGAGTAATTAACAGTAGAGACCTATGATTTCCCAACCTAGTGTCACAAGGATCCTTCGTTTGTTTCTTTCTTTTAACTCCTTCTGCTCCCGGGCTTGCTGGAGGTATTCAGAAACACGTCTCTATGTGTTCCCACCCATATCCTCTTTCGCTTCCCCATTTCCTCTTACAGACGGTCAATACTAAGATCATTGCTTTCCCGTTTCACAATTTCTTAAGAGGAGCTTGGCTGAACGACTGGGCATGCTCAGTAGCGTGTGTGTGTGTGTGTGTGTGTGTGTGTGTGTGTGTGTGTGTGTTTTCCTTTTCTCGCCCAAGTAGAACTTAAAGAGCTCAAAGAATTGCAGCAAGGTGAACCTGCCAGTAGCTCCCTGAAAGTTCATCTGTTACCTCTTTGAGTGAATATTTACATAAATGCCCCCATCCGATAAGAGAGCGACCCTCTGAACAGGAGCCCTGAATGCATTTTTAAAAGCTGCATAGCTGCAGGGCATGTTTAAAGAAGCGGAAGGCTTGTGATATTAATTTTGGATAAGTAAACGGTACTGGAGGAAACGTGAGAGGAAGTAGGAGAAAATAACATCGGGATTTAAAAAAACAAAACGAAAACTGCCTGCGAGGTAAGAAGGGCAAGAAAGATGTGATTCCGAGTCCAGCTCTGGTCCCAGGCAGCAGAAAAGGGCCGGGCGGAAAGGTGCGTGCGGAGCACCCACCCTTTCTCCTCCCGCCCCCCAGCGTCTGGAGCTGCAGGCCTGCTAGAGACTGCCTCGGGAAGCGAGCAGGAAAGTCCTCCCTGTCCCTGCGCTGGCCCGCCCTTCAGTCCCAGCCCGCACCTCGAACCCGATGGGTTCCGGGAGCTCCCTCAGCACCGGGTGGAGAAGAGGAGCCGGGGGTCTGGGGGGCCGGGGGGCCGGTACGTACCGAAGAGGCTGTGGTCCTGCCGGGTGCCCTGCACGCTGCCGTCGGGCAAGATCTGCAGGTGGAAGCCCGTGCGGCAGTACAGCTGCCGGCGGCGCAGGATGCCGTGCAGGTGCGCCAGCTCCGCAGCCCCAGGCCCGCCGCGGGCGCCCCGCTCCACCGCGCCCCGGCGCTCGCCCAGCAGAGGCGGTCGCTCCCCGGCAGGAGGCAGCAGGAAGTGCGAGCCCACCTGCTGGCCCAAGCCCTCCAGGCCGCCAAGGAAGCCTCCGACTTCGGCTAAGGGAGCCATGGAAGGGCCAGGGGGAGAGGCGGAGGATCCGGGAAACAAAAGACCCCAGTCAAAAGTGTAGCGGGGATGGGGACGTGAATGGAGAAAAAATAGAGCAAAACAAGCGCAAAAAGACCCGGTTACTCCTGTGAGGTCGCTGAATGGACTTTGCACTGAGATAGCAGGGGAGTTTTCACTGTCTTGGAGCGATCTTCTCTCCTTGGGTAGGTGGGAGCCGGCTGCTGGCTTTGCAGGAACATCTATAAGCGGCCGCGGCCAATACCCGGCTGGGGCTGGGGCTGGGGGCTGAGGCTCCAACTCCGCAAACTGATCAGATCAGAGTCCTGCGTACATACACAGCGAGTATATATGCGGGTCCTCTTGACATATGCTAATCAAGTCCTTTCATGCGCACTGGGGAGGTTCTGTTTGAAATCTTAAACCGGTCTCCTCTCAACACGTTTTTGCTCTTCGGAAGTGACCAAAAGGGGCCCTTGACGATTCTCTATCCATGCTGTCGCAAAAATCATTCCCACACTTGGCCACAGCTAGCCAGCAACGTCGGGGAGGCACAGCTAAGGCCCCTCTTTGGGGTTGTCTTTGGGACAACCGTGATGCTGTTCGGCTACTGCTGTGCAACCGCCTTTGATGTGAGCTCCTTTGCAGTGATAGATCGCTGCTAACAAGGAGCCCAGCTTGGCAGGTATATAGAAGAAGGAGAAGGGGGGCTGCAGCTGAGAAGGTGGGAGGAGGGGGTGGAGGAGGGGATGGGTGGGAGGAGAAAAAGGGGAGAAGAGGAGAATTGGACTCCTTGAGAGCTGCTGGGAGCCTGCAGTGGACAGGTGCAAAGAAAGGTAAGAGAGAGAGAAGGAAAAAGGGTGTTACCTGAGGCTTAGACCTGCCCAGACACACATGAAAGGAAAATCAAAGCTTTGACAGTTTAACTCACTAATTTTAAAACACTAATAAAATGTACAAGCATTACTTTTTTCTTTTATCATTTAGATGGGGGATTTTCTTTACATAATCAAGGTTAGGTTAGGAACACATACACCCCCCCCTTCCCAGGTTCTCTTTAATGTTTATCTTTACTCAGATAGCACGTGATATAACCAGGACTGCCTTATATCTACATGGAAGTTCTAAATTGTGTGCTAAGGTCATGGACTTTTCATCAACATAGTATGATAACATAATATAATCATGACTCTCAGGACTAAGGATAAACCCAAATAGGTTGAAAAGAGATGGTTTACATTCTTATACTTGCCACAAACAGCAAATGAATTTTTCGTATTCCTTACCCAATCTAAGAGCATTTCCCTGTTCTTTTTAGATTAGGCATTTTCTTTAAGGTTAGATTGGGGGGGGGCTCACATTTTAATTATAAAAATGAGTAAATGGTGTTGAATCTTGAGGTGTTTTTGAGACAAGAAAAGTTACTGGTAAAAATGTAATCATGCCTTTGCTTATTTGTAAAATAAAAAGTCATTGAAGTGAAGGCAGTGGATATTTGTCCATATGAGCCTTAAAACTTTGGTTTTGTACCACTAGTCAACTCAAGATCATTAAAATTTTTCAGTGGCAGAAGAGTTGAGAATCATTTGGCAGATTTATGCTCCCCCTGAGCAAAAACTTTTAGGGAATGACTAAAGTTTAGTTCTTCAGTCTGGTAGTTTAGTTTTGCATTCTAGTTGGTCTGTCCAGCAAAAGCCTGAAAGTGGGAGCACAGATGGATGTGACTGCTTTATTTTATTTGCTCTGAACATTTTTTGTTTTTGCTTTTGTTTTTTGGTGTGTGTGTGTATGTGTGTGTGTTGTTATTAATTAAAAGGTGTTTTAAAGTAGGTAAAGTTACATCTTTTCATCACTACAGTCCTAAGTACTTACCCTTGTGCAACCAAGTTATAAAAGAGTCCTTAAAACAAGTGATTTACTGTTGATAGATATGAAATAAAGCAAAAACACTAGCTAAGAACAATAAACAGATAAATCACTTTAGAAAAGTATATTCTACGTCTGTTTTAAAGTTTGTACTAGGTAAAAGTCATATTGTCTCACCTTTCAGATAACAGCAGTCTGTCGTATGGTAGGACCCTCAAATCCACCATAAGCAAGATTTCAAAGCACATCTGTGTAAACATTATCACATCAGTGTAAAACACCAACCAATGAGCTTTTACTTTGAACAAAATCTTCTTAATTGCAGTGTTAAATCAAAGAAAGTTAGATCAAAGTTGTGTGAATCTCATAGCGGGATAACTAAAGTAGCCAGCACATACATTGATTACTTTCACAGAAGAGATACTTAAAGGTTTTAAAACTAAGATCAGGTACCTTTTAATGAGGTTTGTTTCAAGGTCTAAGTTCTGTACAACATATAATACTGTTAATTATTGCACAGTGGATATCTGGCATCGTCACCTGTTCCTTGAGGTCCTAGTTCAGTCTATGAAATATTTCCCCATATGAACACTTTAAGTCCTGCTGTATGATCTATAGCTCTTAGACTGTTTAAGTCTCTTGTGTTACTTATAGATAAAAATATCAGGAAATTTTACCCATGGTCACCAAACCTCAAATACTCCAATAATAGAACTACCCCCTCTTTCTACAACGTCAGCATTTTCAAGTGCATTACCTTATTTGATCACCACATTAACCCTATGAGATAAGCACATCCCACTTTATAAAGAAAAAAAAAAATGTCCTAGATTCTAGTTAGGGGTTTAGTCCAGAGTCCTACATCCCAGGGCAATTTCCTTAAGCTTCCTAAATGCCTCTGTTTCAGCTTTTGTAAAAGAAATACAATGTAGCTACTTGCCTCATTCACTATGCCTGGGGTTGCTATGGGACTTAAATGTGAAAACACACAGGAGTGGTTTTAAAACTATAAAGTTTTCTGTGCATATAGGATGCTAGACTTTTCAGTTGTTGGGAACGCTTTTACTTCATAATTTGGCAAGTATAATTTGTTTAAAATAAAATAAATCTTTTTTCCCTGAACCAAACCTTTAATGTGTAAGTGCTTAATGCCATTTTATAAAGGGCTAGAATAGAAACAAAAAGATAAGGATTTCTTTTGTTTGCACTAGTCACGTGACAGGAAAAGATAACACTAAAGATTTTTTTTTGCACATGCTGTGATGATATCATGGGAAGTTAAATAATTTTGAAGAGTGTTTTACAAGAGTGCATTATTCAACTTTTAAGTATACACTGCAATCTAATCAACTTCACCTTTACTTCCTAGAGACCACACTTGCCTTGCTGTTATACAAATATGTGGTACAATTTATACTTCCACAAAATGTAGTTACAGTTTTCCAGACCATATAATTCCTATATGGCTTTTCAGCAAGCATATTGTCATGAATCTTTCTTTTTAACACATGAAAAAAGAAGCCAGTGCTTTTTGATTCTCCTACATGTGTTTAACTTGAGAAAAAGAAAGAGCTGATTTAAAAGTCACAACTTACGCCCTCAATAAAATATAATTACATTTGCCTAACATTATTTATTATTTGTCTTTACAAAATATTGGCAACAACATAAATTTCCATACATAAGAAACTAAATGAATAAATTATTATACATTCATACAATGGAGCATTGTACAGCTGGGGAAAAAAAGAATGAGAAGGACCTTTATGAGCTAACGTGAAGTATTTCCAGAAGATATTATTAATCAAAAGTGAAGCTTGAGCTACACTTTACATATAGTGTGCTACCTTTTTTGTAAAGAGAGAGGGTAAAAAGAAACTTCCACATGTAAATGTCTTTCCTTTTAAAAAATAAACATAGAACTGGTGTGCCTGGGTGGCTCATCATTAAGTGTCTGCCTTTGGCTCAGGTCATGATCCCAGGGTCCTGGGATCGAGCCCTGCATGGGGCTCCCTGCTCAGTGGGAGGCCAGCTTCTCCCTCAAGCACTCCCTCTGCTTGTGTTTCCTCTTTCATTGTCTCTCTCTGCCAAATAAATTAAAATCTTTTTAAAAAATAAAAATAAACATAGAATAGATAAATCAGAAACTGGTTCATAGATAAACCAACACAATTGGTTACCTGGTTAACTAATTATCTGGGATAGATGTGAATGAAATAGAAAAGAAAAGGGAGTAACCATTCTTTGAGAACTTTTCATAGAGTTTTGACTTTTGGAGAAATACTAATGTTTCCATTTTTTTTAAGTGAAAGAAAATAAGAAGGAATCGGGGTGGGGGCGGTAGGGAATAAAACTGGCAACAAATAACCTAACTGAATTCAAACAAATCACATAACCACACAGAAGGGAGTAATAATAATTTTTTAAATACTTAGTAATTTTCAAATACAGTTCTTTGACTCTTATTATAACCAAGGTCTAAGACCAAAAGAAAAATACAGGAACGAATATTAAATTTCAGTTACTAAGATTGTTTTACTCAGTAGTGGAGGTTAGATGGATGTATTATAAGTTTGAACAAATGAGCGAATATATCGATGGTAATGAAAGCTGCGTGTTTCACTGTTAGAGAATGGAGACACAGATATGAAGATAGACAAGACTAAATGAATCCTGCAGTGTCGACTTGGAATTACAGTTACCGGGATTAGCATATGGTACAAGCGTGTGTATGTGCGGATGCGTTTATGTCCACTCTGACCACTAATGGAGCCTAGATGCCGAGATATATTAGAAGCAAATGAGCACACTTGCTATTTAGATCTTAGTTTCTTGATTTAATCTCCCACCAGAATGATCCATGGAAAATGTCTGGGTGCAGGACTGGAGCATCTTTCTCTCTTTTTTTAAGACTATTTTTTAAAAGATTTTATTTATTTATTTGACAGGGAAATCACAAGTAGGCAGAGAGGCAGGCAGAGAGAGGAGGAAGCAGGCTCCCTGCTGAGGAGAGATCCTGATGTGGGGCTCGATCCCAGGACCCTGAGATCATGACCCAAGCCGAGGGCAGAGGCTTAGCCCACTGAGCCACCCAGGTGCCCCAAGACTAATTTTTTGGAGCAGTTTTAGGTTCACAGCAAATACCAGCCGGACAGAGATCCCATCCTCCTCTAGAGTGGTATGTTGATTGTAATTGGTGAACCTATAGTGACACATCATTGTCCCCTAACGTTCATAGTTTGCAGGGTTCACTTTTGGGGTGTTGGACAGTCTACAGGCTTAGGCAAATGTATAATGACATACAACCATCATTATAGTATCATATGGAGTAGTTGTAGGGCAGGAAAAATCTGGTGCCCACTCATTCATCCTGACCCCCTCCCAACTCCTGGCCCCACTTTTTACTGTCTATGGAGACCAGTAAAATTTTTCCTTTTCCAGAATGTCATGTAACTTGGATCATACAGTATGTAGCCTTTTTGGATTGCCTTTCTTCACTTAATAATATACATATAAGATGCCTCCATTTCTTTTTTATGACATTATAGCTCATTACCCTTTAATACTGAACAATATTTCATTGTCTGGATATACCAAAGTTTATTTATCCATTCACCTACTGAAGGACATCTTGGTTGCTTCCAAGTTTTGGCAATTATG